ATTCATTCATTCATTCATTCATTCATATGGGTTTCTTTACATAGTCTAAGCTAGCCTGGAACTCCATCTTCCTTCCTCAGCATCCTGAGCGCTGAGACTTCAGGTTTGCACCCCACACTTGACCAGAAATGGTTAATGCTTTAAACTTTGATATTTGGCATTCTAAAGATGGCTTTAAAGTATATCTGCTATGCATGTCACTCAAGAGGTTCTTTATAGTTTCCTGTTGTGGAGGAAGCTGTGGCCTGGCTAGTGAGACAAAACATATGGAGCTAAACCAATCCAAAATGAAAATCAGTGTGGCATGCCTTCTTTCTAGTCATCCGGGTGTCTTGTGATCTGATCCTGCTCTACATTTTTATGAGTGTCCGGGGAGAACTATTTTTTGGTGAGGCACATTTCCTGAGTCTCCAACACACTGGTGGCACAGAAGGAGACCAGCACGTGCCTGAAGACCAGAGTCTGCTCTCCAAACACCTACCGTGTGAAGAGGCTGAGTAAATAATCAGATTTTTTTTTTTTTTCCACTCAGCGACAACATGAGCAAGGTGTGAGTGTTAGGGGATCTTCTGCTTGGAAGGACACCTAAACTGTCCTATCCTTACTTCAGGAGTCTCTCCTCTCCTCCTCCCTGGGCAAACATCTCTGCTCTCAGACACACTCCCCCTGTCTTCAGGCCCTGCTGGGGGTACAGCTCAGTGGCAGAGGGCCTGCCTAGCACCTGTGAGGCCCTGGCTTCCACCTCTAGCAATGCAAGGACAAACCAACAACACCAAAAGTGTAAAGGGGTTAATCTGGCTCGTTTCCGTATTTATAAGTACATTGTAATCATGACTTCTTGTGATTCCCTGCAGAGAGCCTAGTAATTCAGTGCTCCTAAGCTCTGCACTTAGAGCTATCTAGATTCAAATCCCAGCTCTTTGATCCTGGGCAAATTACTTGGTTCTCTGCACTTCAAGGTCGTTTTCTATCAGAAAGGGTTAATAGCACGGTTACTTTGAAGACTGGATGAGCTAACTCAGGCAGACCAGAGCATCACTGGGTGGAGGGAGAGGGCTACAGCACAATACACACAAATCATACAGCAGTCTATACATGACAGTTCTGTCACTAACGATGATGTGCTCAACAGGCCTTGCGTTATCTTTCTCTCCTCAGCTACATACATCATGGGAGTGTATATAGTTTGCTAATTTAAAAATATTTTTTGTTGTGGGCTATCCTACTATAGATGTATCAAAAGTTGTGACAGAAAATCAACTAGAATCACTATATTCAGAGACTACACATTATTATTATTATTATTATTATTATTTTAAAGATGGGATCTCTCTGGCCTCAAAGCTGGACTAGAATTCACTATGTAGCCGAGGATGACCTTAACTTCAGATCCTCCTGCCTCCATCTCATGAATGCTGGGACTATGGGCACGTTCCACAATGCCTGATTTGTTTGACTATTTTGGACATTTATTTTCAATTTGTCTCTAGTCTCAAATACATGTATTTAAAGACATTTTAAAAAATTAAAGGCATAAACAGTGTGCTTGTGACTCATAGCCATCCTAGTCCCAAGGGATCCAATGCCCTTTTCTGGCCTCCATGGGCACCAGGCACACATGTGGTGCCCATACCTACATTCAAGCAAAACACTCACACACATAAATCTAAAAACCAAAAACTTTTTTTTTTAAATTTTATTTATTTATTATGTACACAGAAGAGGGTGCCAGATCTCATTACAGATGGTTATAAGCCACCATGTGGGTGCTGGGAATTGAACTCAGGACCTCTGGACGAGCAGTCGGTGCTCTTAACCTCTGAGCCATCTCTCCAGCCCTAAAAACCAAAAACTTAAATGTAACAATTTACCTTCATCTTTTTTTGTGTGTGTGGTTTTTCGAGACAGGGTTTCTCTGTGTAGCTTTGTGCCCTTCCTGGAGCTCACTCTGTAGACCAGGCTGGCCTCGAACTCACAGAGATCCACCTGGCTCTGCCTCCCGAGTGCTGGAATTAAAGGCGTGCGCCACCACCGCCCGGCACCTTCATCTTTTTTCAAAACTTATTTATTTTTATGTGCATTGACATTTTTGCCTGCACATATAGTTTGAGCAAGGGTTCTAGATCACAGCAGTTGTGAGCTGCCATGTGGGTGCTGGAAATCAAACCCAGGTCCCCTGGAAGAACAGTCAGTGCTCTTAACCACTCAGCCATCTCTCCAGCCCCTGCTGTCACCTTTTTAATTAAAGCAATCAAGCACTATAGATTCGGTTGAAGATTTTCCTCTCCTTGGTTCGGTTTCCATTCCCTCTATATAGACCACCGCTGTCATGAATTTGATGTATAAGAGTTTACACTCGCCGGGCAGTGGTGGCGCACGCCTTTAATCCCAGCACTCGGGAGGCAGAGCCAGGCGGATCTCTGTGAGTTCGAGGCCAGCCTGGGCTACCAAGTGAGTTCCAGGAAAGGCGCAAAGCTACACAGAGAAACCCTGTCTCGAAAAACCAAAATAAAAAAAAAAAAAAAAAAAAAAACAAACAAACAAAAAAAAGAGTTTACACTCACACAAAATATGAGATTAGTATAGGTTCCAAAGGTTCTGTTTATTTACGAATGTGGTATCATAATGTATACAGTTCTGCAAACTGCTTTTTTTCATTCCACACTGGTTCTGAATTCTATCTGCAATCATTATCCTTTGACAAAAACAAAGCCAGTTTCTTAGCTCCCGTATGTATACCACCATGTGAATTTTCCCTCTTTGCTGTTGCATAATCAAGTTGTTCTTGACTTTTCACTATTATAATCAGTGTCATAATAGTCACTGCAACTGCAAAAAAAAAAAAAAAAAATTTTTTTTTTCAAGACAGCGTTTCTCTGCGTAGTTTTGGTGCCTGTCCTGGATCTCGATCTGTAGACCAGGCTGGCCTTGAACTCACGGAGATCTGCCTGTCCCTGCCTCATGAGTGCTGGGATTAAAGTTGTGCGCCACCACCACCCGGCACAAAAAGATTTTTTAAGACTTATTTTTATTTATGTGTGTGTCTGTGTTAAGTGTGTATATACAGGTGTGTGTGTGTGTGTGTGTGTGTGTGTGTGTGTGTGTGTGTGTGTGTGTGTGTGTGTGTCCTCAGAGGCCAAAACAAGGTATTGGATCCCTGGAGTTACAGGCATTTGTGAGGTTTCTGATGTAGATGCTGGAATGCGTAACAAGTGCTTTGAACTGCTAAGCCTTCTCTCCAGCCCTAAGTACAAAAAACTGCTTAGGTATTTCCACATGAATGGAAAGAGTCCATTTGTATTGGTAAGCAATTTAAAGGAGGTCTGTGTCTGAGGAGGACTGGCTTAGCGCTCTGGGTATGATAAAGCTGCTCGCCTCACTGGCACCCTGGAAGCAAAAGTCAGGAGGGGGTCCCCACATCCTCAAGGGCACACAAGATGATTTAACCTCCGCTGGGCTCCACTTTCTAAAGGTCCCACCCATCAACTTCCAATAGACTTCAGGTTGGAAGTCAAGTCTTCTTCAGTACACGTACTTTTCTTTCTTTTTCTTTTCTTCTTTTGAGACAGGGTTTCTCTTGTGTATTGCTGGCTGTCTTGGAACTCCTTCTGTAGATCAGGCTGGCTTCGAACTCCTCGATCCACCTGCTTCTGCCTCCCCAGTGCTGGGATTAAAGGTGTGCACCACCACAGCCCCACTGAATACGTGTACTTTCTAGGGACATTTATAATCTAAACCACAACACCACTTACTTTATAGTATTTTTTTCATTTGATGAAAGTTTCCTTATTTTGTTTGTTTTGTTGTTTTCTCCATGGCTGTCTTGGAACTCTCTCTGTAGACCAGTCTGGTCTCGAACTGAGAGATGCGCTTGCCTGTCTCCCGGGTACTGGGATTATAGGTGTGCACCACTAACAACTGGCTTGATCAAAGTTTTTTTTTTTTTTTTTTTTTTACACTTTTAAAGCGCAAGAGACAAGAACTTTAAACACACAGTGAAGGCTGCCAGTGTGCTTGGCGTTGGGGAGAGGAAGCACCCAGGTGAGTGCCCGTGTTGGAGATGCGTTGGGTTCCCATCACCGTGCAAGATGCATGTCAGCGTAGCACACGGGGTTAGGCTGACAAGAGAAAAATAATCTGCAGGAGGCTTCCTTATTAAAGTTCAAAGGATGGAGAAAAGAGAACTCTCAGGAGATTCTCTGGTAGTTTAAACAGTCCAGACAAGGGTTCCTCTGATAATACAGGCTGAATTTAGCACAGGAGCCAGGGTTTGAGTTCCTTCCCCAGTACAAAAATAAAATAAAAGCTGGAACAAATGATCTTCATTATTGTTTCTTCCGGAATTGAAACTTCAAATGTCACGATTGTTAATTAAGAAGGAAGCCAGGCTGACTTTTAAAACCATTAGTCCTCAGCATCACTTACCACAGACCGTAGGTGGTGGGAAGTGTGATGTTAGAGAGCCAATAGGAGATGGAGGACTTGGCTTCCACGCTGTTATTTCTTCTCAGCGTCTGTCCCTGGACCAAATCCCCAAATGGAGGCTAAAGGAGTGGCCGAAGTGTAAACGCCAGTCTCGCTGGTTGGTTCGCACCGTTCTGTTCTAGAAAACCATAAGGCACTTTCCATAAAACGTGCCCGGGGAGGGAGCTGGTTAAATTGCGCCCTATTAAGCTCGGATTGTCATGCGTCCTGGTTTTTTTATTCGATGCTCCGGTCTCAAGAGCCAGCACTACTTTCCGCGGCTGGCACCGGGGCCTGTGTGAACTTACTTTTTTTAACCGACTGGTCCGAGGCGCTAGGGAGAACCGGCGCTCCCGGGCTACCGACTTCCGACGCGAGCCGCGCGCAGGGCAGGTGGCGGCCGGGCCGGGAGGCGCAGGAAGCGGCCGGCGGGGCGGAGCGGGCGGTGGGGAGCAAGGCCGCGGGCGCCCCGCCCGGGCTGGTATGCGGCCGGGAGTGACGCGGGAGGAGGGGTCACGTGACGCCCGTGGAATGCCAACAATGTAGCGAATGTCCCGCTCGGGTCTGCGCGTCGGAACCGCGGCGTGAGCGCCCCGGGAAGATGGAGCCGCCGCCGCCAGCGCCGCCACCGCTTCCCCGGACTCCCCCGACCCTACGGGGTCAGCAACCACTGCCGCCAGCGGCGCCCGGTCTCCCGGCGCGCGAGGTCCCGGAGCCGCGGGCCAGGACGCCGCCGAGGGTGTAGAGCGCTCCCGGAGGTGAGGGGCCGCGGCCGGGAAGTTTGTCGGGACGGGGCTCCGCCCGCCCGCCTTCCCAATCCCGCGGTCGAGCCGCCCCGCGGGCCGCGGAGAGTCCATCGGGCCGGTACCGGGCGGGTGCGGGGCAATGGGTGGCGGCGGCGGGGCGGCTTTGTTGTGCTCGGCGGCGGCGTCCGGAGGCTGAGACCCCGCGTCCCGCGGCGCCGACCCCGCCCAGCCTGGGCCTCGGGGCGCCGCGCCGTCCTCCACGCGCGATCGCGGCCTTGCGCGCTGGACCCCGGGCTCCCCGGCGGCGCGGTCCCCGCCCGGTGTCCTGTCCCCGGCCGCGCCGTCCGGCGGTCCGTGCGGGGCCGTTGCGTAACGCCTCTCTGGAGCCCACTTCTCCCCGGCCGGCCTCCGCTGCTCCTCCCCGCCGCGACGCTGGGGCCTGAGTTCGCAGCGCTGGTCCCCAGCCCAGGTCACCCACACACGAGCCTCCTGCGGGGCCCGGGTCTCACCCGGGGCGACCTCGGCTGCCAGCCTGGTGCTCGAGGCCGCCGAGTGAAAACACGCCTGGGAGGAGGGAACGGGAGAGAACTGGACGTGCAGATTTTGTTGACAAAAAGTTTAAGGGGAGGACTTTTACTTCTTTAAACTTTTCCTGCGTGTCCGTAATGTGGCTGTTTATTAGGGGATTTGTACCAAATCTTGCGCCGTAGTTTTAGTTTAACCCTAGGTTAGGTCTGTAAATGATGCTCACCGGTTTTGAGTGCTAAATCTGGAGACTAGGCTACTTTTTATGATTCTACCCGCCCCCCTCCCCTTGGCAACTGTTGTAATAAGGCATTAACAAAAATCTTCCAGTACAGGAATGCAGACTCTGCTTAGAAAGCCTGTTTTAACTTAACTATAATTAACGAGACATTACAGTATTCAGCCTCTCGTAAAATTTTGTCTCGTTATCCGGGTATAGAGAAGACTGTTGAACGGATCCACCATGTCTCCTTTGAAATTGCTTAGCTTTTACCACATTTCAAAGTGTCAGCTTCATATGGTACCAACAGAGGCTGCTATGCAGAATTACTAGAACAGAGTTACAGAATCGCCTAAGTTTTGAACCGAGAGTTATTCTTCAGCCTCTCCATCTAGTTGGAATAGTCTTAAGTGTAAATTGGAGCTGTCGGTATTTCTTTCCTTAGCAAATCACAGCTTTGGTGGGAGGGACTTTCAGGGGTGGGCGGGGAACACGCTTACAATAAAATGCCTTGTTATTTTAAATGCTGTGTTGTAAATAGCCTGCCCTAGGCTCTTAAACCCTACTGGAGAGTGGAATGGAGGGGTTGGAACTGGTAAATCCACGCTCAACGCTTACGAAAGCTATTGGGGAGCCTTGTGGGGGAGGGTAACCTGGGGGTGAGGGTGTTGTGTTTGTATTGGGAAATCCAGACTAACACAACGTTTTGTATTCATTTCATGCTTGTAATAACGTGAAACTTCAAAGCAATATTCTATACTATTTAAAAATAGTATGCTTGCAGGACAGTTGATAAAGTCAATGTATTTATTTACATTGTCTTGACTAAATCTGTTCTGCAAATGGGTAGCCGTCCAGCCGTCCACAGAAGGAGCGAGTCAGCTCTGTGGAAGCTGTAGAAATGCCCAGAAATCTCTGTCCTTCTGAGAAGCCCATGGTGATTCCTCTGAAGCGGCTGGAGTTCAGAGGAAGAAGACCTCTTCCAGTGGTCGGGGCACTATTCCTTTCGTTTGCCAGTTCTGTACCACCCTCCGAGGGGCACCCTTAGTTCCTAAGGATCTACTAAGGATCAGCTGCTCCCTCTGTGCTTTGAACACGAACGTTATTTGATTTATTGTTTCATCCTGAAGGTATAATAAAACAGTAATGTTGGAAATAAAGATAATTGGTGATGCTAAAATTGTGGAGGAAATTGGGCATTGCTTAATGCTTGCCATTCGCTTGGCAAATACTTCATGTTAGTTAATGTCTAGACTTGGTCGACCTAATTGTAATTGAGAGTGGTGGGTTTTTATGTTGCTGTTTTTGTTTGTAAAGCTAATTAACAAGCGCTTTTTGTTTGTGTGCCAATGTTTGACATACATAGGATTTTTCTGGCTGATGAATGAAAATGGTCGTATTTCATAGCAGGCGTTGGCATTTCTTGTTGACCCTGATTGCTAAGAGACCGTTGCAGACCCTACAGATCTCTAAATCAGTTAGGGTAGCACAGACCTTGAAGAATGGAAGTTGGTTTTGAATAAAGTAGGCCTGGGTTTAGAATATGAAGCTCTCTGCCCCTGGCAGTTATTGGAGCAGGAATGCTGAGGGCTAGCACTTTCCATTACTAATTAACTCATCCTACCTCCTGACTCTTTTCTCCTGTTTAATTTTATTTTTTTTAACATTAAAAGTCCCCCAGACAGCACCTGCGCCCCCCCCCGCCCCCCCAGCATTGTCTGTCTTCCTGAATACATTCTTCATTCTTGTGTGTTCAAGCCCTTACACGGAAGTTGGAGACTCCCAAGAGTAGCTCCCCACCCCATCAGCCGCAGCCCCGAGCTCTTCCAGGTCAAGCATTCCTTCCTCTGCGCCGTTTTCTCTAAGTAGTCTCACACGGAAAGACTCATGCTCGTGCATCAACAGGCAGGCACACACACTGGTTCTTCAGCTAGGTTGATGGCCTGCGTGCTTCTCCAGTGGAATGTCCATTCTCACTCCCGATGCTAGGTTGATGGCCTGCGTGCTTCTCCAGCGGAAAGTCCATTCTCACTCCCGATGCTAGGTTGATGGTCTCTGTGATTCTCCAGTGGACTGTCCATTCTCACTCCCGATGCTAGGTTGATGGTCTCTGTGATTCTCCAGTGGACTGTCCATTCTCACTCCCGATGCTAGGTTGATGGTCTCTGTGATTCTCCAGTGGACTGTCCGTTCTCACTCCCGATGCTAGGTTGATGGTCTCTGTGATTCTACAGTGGAATGTCCATTCTCACTCCCGATGCTAGGTTGATGGTCTCCGTGATTCTCCAGTCCAGTGGACTATCCGTTCTCACTCCCGATGCTAGGTTGATGGTCTCCGTGATTCTCCAGTGGACTATCCGTTCTCACTCGCGATGCTAGGTTGATGGTCTCCGTGATTCTCCAGTGGAATGTCCATTCCCACTCCCGATTGGGGAAGATGGGGAACTTGGGTGCAGTGGAGGCACAGCTTGCTCAGAGATGTGGAGCCCTGCTGTGGGGGTGGCCTGCCCTGTCCTCTTTAGCTACTAGCTCTTAGGAGTTCTGCAGGGAAGGAGCACACGCTTGTCTACTCTGGCTGCCGCACAGGCTCCCCAAGGCCTTTGGTGACTATTGGACAGTGGGGAACTGGTGTTTCCCTGAACCTCCAGGAAGACGGCCACTGCCTTCCTTAGAGACCCTCAGCCTGCGGCTTCCCGGCCTGGACGGTGGCATGTGATTCTGACATTTAGTGTCTGGCTCGAGGTCTGGCCTCTTCCCTTGATTTCATCTTTGCTAGTTAATTATAGTGGGAATGTAATTTAAATAATAACTGGAGGTTTTGGTCTAAGAAATACTGTTTTAAAATAATGCCCCCCCCCAAAAAAAAACAAACCTAAGCCATGTGAACAAATGAAGAGAGCTGATAGCGAGGTGGCACACATTTGCCACTCCAGTGCAGGGCAGGGGGTGGGTACTAAAGCAGGTGGACTGAGTTTGAGGCCAGCCTGAGCCACATAGTTAGACCATGTCACAGACAATGACCTGAGTTTGATCCCCAGCACCTACATGGTAGAAGAGAAGAAAGAACCGACTCCTGTAAGTTGTCCCCCGACCTCCACAGGTGTGTTGTGATGTTCACACACCCACACATACACAAACAAATGTAAAACAATTTTAATTAAAAAAACCACTAAACTAAAATAGAGCTGATGTGTGTCATAAGCACCATCCTACCGGTATGGGTTTTGAGTGGTTTGTTGGTTGGTGTGTGTTTGGCCGCCTGTGTGGGATGGGGAAGCATGAGGAGAAAGGAGAGCAAGAATTCTTGACCATCTGCTGGCATTCTCCCGGATCGGGTTGAGGACTGAGCTGGATTTGGTAGGAAGCATGGAAGGAATGCTTAAAATGCTACACGCAGTTGTCGGTAGCCTCCAGCCAAGCGGAAGATTTGGTAATGGGCTCTTGTTCTGCAGTGAAGTGGTTTTGTTTTGTGAGTTGTTACAGATTTTTTGTTTGTTTTGGGGGTCTTTGTTTTGCTTTGTTTCTCGATAGGGTCTCATTGGGAAGCCCTGGCTAGCCTGGAACCTTCAGCCTTCTTGTCCTGCCTCCTAAGTGCTGGGATTACAGGTGTGAGTTGCTAAATTGTTTCAGATTTTCAGTTTCAGGGTCTTATTCAGTTTCCTTTAAAATACAAAAAAAACCCAACAAAACAAAACATTTAAATCAGTTGTTAATGCCAAACAAATTTCAAAAACTAGATTTACTTTATTTGATACTCCCAAGGGTCATATTTATAAACTTATTGATGAAGGAAAAATTCCCATCTGTCAGTCTTGTTAGATGGTGTGGGAGTAGCTCAGCAAAGCTCATCTCCAGCTGTACTTTTCATTTGACTGATGAATATTTCCATGAAAAAATTCTTTTAAAAGTTCAAGATTTGGCTGTAAAACCAACTGTCTTCAAATTAAACCTTAAAACGCAGTCTCCAAGCTGAGAAGGGAATTTTTCTTTTTTACGATACTGAAAACATGCTGCTTTCTAGATGATTCTGTCAAGGACCAGGGGCACTGCTGGGTGCTATTTTACCTCTTAAAAAGACAGAGTTCCTGGGGTCTTCTAGGACCAACACTTCCCACAGAATGTTGGGGAGAGGTCGGGAGAAAAATCAGAACACTGAAGAAAACCAGGTGTCCCTGAAATCCTCTTTGCTTACTTGTCTTCAAATTGTTGGTGAGTCTGGAAAGGGGAGACAAAACCAAAACACTTGACCCTGGGGCTGTTCCAGGCT